GGCGGCGGCGGTGGTGGGGGGGCGGGGTGTGCGGCGGTGGCAGCGGCGGCGGCAGTGGTGCAGCCCCTTTGAACCTTGCTACCGTTGCCTGTTGCTCGTTGAAGGTGCTCTGTTGGGCAAGCCCTAAACCGGTTGGGGTTTGAGGGGCGGGGTTCCACCAGGGATATTCAGAGAGACCCTTTCAGAGTAATCCTTGTGGTAGGCTTGTTAGGGTTTAGGGAGTAAGATCTGGGACCGAGGGATTGGTGTGCTTGTGGTTTGTGGTGATGGTTTGTTCTTCCTGTTTCGTTGCTGCTGTTAGTTTTCGGATCTCTTGTGCAGTGCTCCAAGCAACTCTGAATGATTCAGTGTCAGCACATCAGCATGTCGGACTGAGGGCCGAAAGGATCATGATTCCATCGGTCCTTCGTACTCTCCTGGCCCATTTTACGGACTGGAGCCTGACCCACCCAAATCGCAGAACACTTTTCAGACACAGCATGTTACAGATTGCAAGGAGATCCCTACATATCCCTACGCAAATAATTCATCCCTTACTGCAGTAATATGTTTTTTGCGCATGTTTCTCGGGTGCGTTGTGTGGATCAAACATACAACTTGTGTCCTTCCCTAGATGCAGATAGCTACTTTTGATAAAGGCAACACAAGTGGTGCGCATGGTTTGTACTGCACGTTGCAGCATGTTGCATGTTGCACGTTGCATGTTGCATGTTGCATTTGCATGTTGCGCGAATCGAAATCTAGGCTCTCGCTCCCGAACCTACATGACGCGGGCCACAAATACCCAGCTTCACATGTTCATGGCCTCTCTTCAAAACACTTAAAACACTTAGGACGTCTGTCAAATTTCAGCAAGACGTTTGAAAGACTGCCGGTTGCCTCGTAAAACGCTTTCGGCTCCGCTTGGCTGCGCCAAATTCATAACTTGCGACTTAGATCATCATCTCTGCATCCGAACTCTCAGCCACAGAAAAGGCAATGTATGCCTCCCAAACTCAATTACCTGTGTCACGAGCCCTCACGTGGATGATTGCCGTTGCGTACAAAATGTGAAATACGAGAAGCCTCGCCTGCGCACAAGTTCGTGCTGCAAGTTGATGTCCCTAAACCAGAAATGCTGGACTCCACCCAGACCTTGAGTGCTGCGCAACCTTCATCCAAAAGCCTGCCCTCCTGAAACACCAACCTACTACCAACCTCAAAACTTTGATTTTACGCTGGAACACGCTGGGTTAGCCTTGGCCATCCCAAACATCCTGGCGTAAGCTCATATCTTAATCAACAAATTTGTCAGGCCATTCTAGGGCGTGCCCCCTATTCACGTTTTAAACCAGCTTTTTTATAGAGCGGAAGATTTTGGAAACGCTGAAATTGCTCGCCTAACACCCGCCTGCAGGTTGATGTAAGCTGCGGTTCTCGCGTGACACCTCACCCGTTTGCTTGTTGAAGCCTCATTCTGGTACAGTTTCCCGCTGGATTGAGGACTTGTTGTCTGATTGGAATCCATTCCGAAAGTTCACCTGTCGGCTCACTGACCCTGCTTTTTGGTCCAATTGCCCAGCTGGCTTACTATTGAAAATGCAGTTGCCTGCCTCGCACCTCACCTGGATGTTTGCTGAATCAGTGGCGTGGCCCCTTGACAACTGACCTACCTCTTTGCACGTTGAAACCCCGCTTCAGTACAGTTGCTCGCCTCACGCCTCAGCAGCAGGCAAAAAGCCCAGTATGGTACACTTGGTTGCATGACATGCATGTTGAAACGCAATTTCTATACAATCTATACAACTGTCCGCCTCACACCTCACCCGGATGCTTTTTGAAGCTCAATTTTGTAAAAGCTGCTCGCCTGACACCTGCCATTGAATTCCCATACTGGCACAATTGAGCGCCTGACGGTCCTGCTGCTGTCATATTTGTAGCTCGTGTCTTGCTTTCCGCGTGCTGCTGTCTGGCGGCCTTGTGCTTGTTGCTGTCCTCCTACTGTGCAGAGAGAGGGCGAGAGAAACAGAAAGGCATAGTACTGTGTCCCGAAACAGCCTCGGGAGGCATTACTGTTGACATAAGCATGGAGATGATGCGCTGCGCTTGATGATCGCGTACTTTCGGCATCTTTCGGCAACTGTTGCTTGAAGCTGTTGCATGGCTACGGATAGAAGTTGAAAGCATGCCTAGCTCGAGGTGCAAAACCTACCCCACCAAGTACAGGAAGGACCATTTTACTTTGTCAGGCGCGGGCTCCTACATACCTCACCACAAATCAGGCACAAAGCCTGTTGACACTGCATGTTGGCGGCATGTCAAGTTGGACTCCATCTGAGAACATGACCGTGGGTTGACACTCCATGCGGCAGCCTCGACAGCAGCCTGCGCTGCAGAGCGCGCGTCTGCGGCCATAAGGGCACGAGCAGACGCAACCACATGCGCAGACTGACCTGTGCGAAATGGCTGCAAACGCAACAGACTGCCTGCATTGCAACCACATAGCCCGGCGCGACAATGTTACAATACTTGCTGCCAAAGAAGCGAGGTCTTAAGAACTCCTCCGCATCTTGGCTGATTGTGCCTGACCGGAGTAGGCGATGTGACTAAGGAGGATAGGGAAAGAGAAGAGATACCACCCTGCGTGAGTTTGCACCTTTGCATCGTGGCATGAGGCTACCGTTACGTGCATGCGCCCTGTCATTCGGACATTATCAGGTGCTGTGGTCGCACCGAGGGCCTGTACAGTCAAGCAATGCAGTCCGTAAATCATGCTGAAATTGGCACAAACAAATCTGCAGGTTCTGCTGGACTCGCACGCTGACAAGGGTAGGTGGCATCCAAGAGTTGGGGGCGCCAATCCTAGGAATGTACAGCGACTCGCTGCATGTGTCGAATCGCGCCGTGCTTGGTTAGATCGGCGCGGCGGAAGCATCCAAGCGCTCTTCCATGGTGACAGCCGGACACCATTGTTTCGATTTCAAATTCTGAGCTGCTTATATCATTTCCGTCGAGGCAAGGCCACCAAGCGCCCCCATCCCCACCTCACTGCCCTCTGTTTGGCCTTGGTACTGATCTCCTCTGGGTCAGCTACTTGGACATTGTTGCCCTGCCCACGACGCCAAGGCGGCGCGACAAGCATCTGCAAACAGACCTGAACCTGGTCGATTTCCCTTCTCCCTACCCTCTCCCCCAACCCCAGAGTGACAGCCACTGCAACTGTGCTCCAGCGCCAGCGCAAGTCGCATCTGCACAGCGAGCCTCCCTGCGAGGCCCGCCGCCCAGGCTAAAGTGCACCAGCAGTCGTTGAAGTGTCTTCAATGACTGCAAATATTGTAAATACCGTTAAGCTGCAGTAATCGGAGCTCTTCAAATGCCAACCAAAAGCTACAAATAGCATGAATGCGTGCACGTGAATCCCTTCAAAGACTGTAAGTACTGTAAGTCAAAGCAGCTGCAGCTCTCCACCGCCTGCAAACTGATGAGAGTTTGGAGGCCTTTAAATGCTGTAGGTACCGCAAATTGTCAGAGGCAGCGGCGATCATGGTAGGAATGAAACCAAAATCAATAGCAGTGATGAGAAGTGGTCTAACTGCAATAGACGAACATAAACAGGCTTGAGGTCGCGCCACTCTTTCAAATACATCCTAGCCCAAGTTCATGCGTCGTGTTGTAGGGTTATGCTTGAAGTCACGCACTCGTTAAACAGAACTGGCGGAAAAAATGGGAGCGTGTGAAGATTCACAAGGTACGTGTAAGGTTGCTTGGACCAGGGCCCGACCCCACAAAACTCTACTATGATGCGGGCACACAATGCATTGGCCCAGCCTGATGAACTGCTTACCAATGTTGCTTCCATCTGCTCCTCCAATGCAGTTCTTGCTGAACAAGCACTGTTAGGTTTTTCGAAGCTCTGCAGCTCCTGGGCCCTTGGTAGCTGGATGGCGACCTCTTCGTAGCTGTGATCCTTTTTTGTTGATGAGCTCGCTTCGGCCTTTCCATTCCAGAGCACTTGTTGCGGGTGGCAGTACAAGTGTGAGCCCTGCCTGCTCGCAGGAAGAACTAGCCTCCATTGTAGCAACATCTTTTTCCTGAAATTGTTGTCTCTTGCATGTACTTGCAAAGCCATGAGCCTACCAGTCAAGTCTCATCACACTTCTGTGCTGCCATCATGCTCGACGAATAACCATAATCACTATCCAAGTTCGGCGGCCTCCATGTCGGCAAGCTCTGTGTCTGCACCCGATGCCACAGCTGCGGCAGCAGCAGCAGCAGCAGCACCACCACCACCACTTTTCTCTGTCATCCGAATGCCACTTTCACGACAGCTCTGATTTGCAGTCGGTTATACTGCTCAACGAGGACTTCTGCTACCCCTGCCTACATCCACTTAGTAGAAAGTGGCCTGGCCTCCGCACGAAAATGAAATGCCACCAACTTGACGACCGGAAATGACTCCCCTTCAACCCCGTCTTGAATGCTCATACAAACTCAGCTAGCATGCAGGTGTGCTGTCCATGCGAGCTCCAATTCTTTGCGCGAGGTCGTGCACGCACACAACAGTCATTGGGCAAACACAAGAGCAAAACACGCAAAGCACAGTTGAAAGCAGCTCGCCTGCGGATATCCAGTTGGCCTGGTCACTTGGCCCAACTGTTCTTCTTGAGTGAGCAGGCAACAAGCGGCGCCTCCTTTTCAGGTGCTGTGAAGACTGAGCCAAGCATCAGGCGCGTGAAGTGTCCTGCAGTGGACTGACTGCGGAAGAGCCTCACCTAAACTTTATATCCCTGATTCTAGCCCTGCAGGTATATCACAGCTGCACCCAGTCCGATCTTTGCTATGGCGCGCCTTCCAGGCCAAAGAAATCCTCCAGCACACTGTCTGCTAGCCTGCACTGAAGCGCAAGATAAAACTGCTGAATGCTTTCGTTGCTGGCCTTGAAGAGCCAGCTGCAGCTGCATGGCACAGCCTCTGAAGCCTGGACTTTGAGCAAGCTGCAGTTTGCAAGCGTCGGCTGCAGCAAACCTCAAGCCTTGTCCATGTGGGCTGCACACGCTTGCGGAAAACTGCCTGTGCTTTGGATCACTTCACGAGTCACGAGTCCTTGTCTTCATGGATGCCCCGCCTCCAACGACGAGAAGAGACCGTCATGCTCTTCAAGGAGGTCCAAGATGACAATGTGACTGCCACCAATCAACCAATCATCTCGCCACAGCCGGTCCAATGATGCATGCCTTTCCTGCCAGGGGATCCACGCAGCCGCTGGCAGAAGGCGCTAGCAGCCTGACAACAGTCTGTGAGTTTGCCCCCTCAAGCTCTCCTGCTCACTCAGATTATCCCATGTTTTAACAGGTGTACCATCAGGCGACATCCAGCGCGAGCCATCTTTGTGGCCATCTACGCATGATAGCCATCGGCATCACTGGAGCTGCCTGGCAGCGTGGCAGCGCTACAGCTCCACAAGAGCAGAACGCCGTGTAAGAAGCAGGGTGCCGAACCATCAGCATGTAAAACCTGCCACTCGACTGCGACTGCTCGGTTGTGAGTGCTGCGAGCTACTAGCTGGACCTCCCACTCGAACTCACACCGTTCGTGCCACGATTCCTCGGCATTGGGGGCAATGAATGCAGATTTAACAATCCCTGCCTGATGGACCGGCCTCATGGTCCTGTAGCACCTCCTGCAACGCCTTGCGTTTGCATCATGACACCCCTCATTCTCTTTATCCTGCCCGGTCTGCACAGCCTCCCGGCATAGTTGGAACTCGTCTTGCACGCGAATCGTGTCAGTGGAGCCAGGCCTGCCCATGATCAATGCAGATGTCCCACCCTTGCTTTCCCGCAGCTGGCATCCACATACTCAGCAGATCGAAGACACTCGCCGCTGGGTATAGTAGTCCAAGTCAGCAAATGACATGAAACGTCGTAGGTTGCGGTTGATGCGTGCCAAGCTGTACATTTGAAGCCTCCTTGCTTTCCGCGCAGATCTGTGCGTGATTTCAAAAGGAAGTCTTTGTGATGACTGCGCCTCCAGAGCTTGATAGCAAACTTTGTCTATGCCAACCCACAGAAATCTTGGACCTGTTCTGCCACAACATGGCGCCGTCATGTTTAGCGCTTGCCTTCTTTGGAAGCCATAAGGATACACCTGCTTGGGTCTAGCAAGCACAGAGTGCTTCGTGTGCCCCTGCAGGGGCTGCCTTGCCCACCTTAACTCCACAGTTGTAGCGTGAATTCAACAATACCTTCCGCTCATGTGGAGCGTTCCACGGCACTTTGGTTAGACGAAGCTGATGGCCTGAATGGATTCTCCATGGCAGTAGCCTTGGCCGCCCATGCTGTACAGAACTTGCCCATGCCAACTACCGCTGAAACGAATCTGAACATCTGTTCGGGCATCCGAGATGCAACGTTCAGCAGCGCGACAAGCGTTGTTGAGATCAGACCTGGTATGTAGCTAAAATTAGCTGCTAAACATACGTAGCTTATCATAGCTTCGTGGTCTCATTTGCATAGGAGTGGGATTTCAGTGGCGCGGATTAACATGCCAGCAAGGCAGGAAAACAGACAAGCAAAGATCAGACGATGGGCTGACAGCAGCCCATCTGAATCTCAGCTGCAGGTAGTTTCTTCTGTTGATTGGCAGACCCCCAAGGCCAAGCGCTGAGAGATGTACCAAGAGCAATGTGAAGGTAGTATGGCCTCATGCCGCACGGATTGTAAGCATGAGTGGCCTGATGCAGTGCAGCATGTGCTCAACCCAATGGCGCACCCGAAAAAGAACGGAAACACTTGGATGTTCACCTCAGCACGCGTCCAAGCGTTGCTCGCAAAATGTGGACTGCGCATCATGTACCTGCAACACCCTTAGAAGGCCGCTCGACTGACTGATCTGAGCGTGGTCGGAGATCTGTAAGTCTTGAAGCCTTAGGGCAGGTTCGCGAACCGTGAAACGTAGATTGTGCCAACGCCTGAAGGCACAAGCCCGGTCCTAGGCTTCCCTTCCCCTACACTAAGCTCGTCTGCCCTGGATTGCATTCTTTTGCGGGTTTCAAGCTGCTTCCGGATCTGAAGGGTCTGCAATGATCCAAGTGTTTGGGAAGATGCGTACTGAGATCTGCTGCTTTGGAGAGATGACATTCTTTGAAAGCAAAATGTAGGAAGCTGCCTTGCGGGGGTCAGACAACGGGCAAGGCTACCCGAAGTGTGGGGTTGTGAGTTGGTGGCCGCCATGCAGGAGGAGAATGGGTTTGACATGCTTGCCTGCTTGCCTTGCTTTGGGCCTGTCTATTCAGTTTGAGTTGTTGCCGCTTGAAGAAAATCTGGGACATTCCTTTCTGCAACGCAAAGATTCACAACATTTGGCCGAGCGGCCTATCTGCTGTGAAAAGGTGTTACGGGAACTAATTGACTGCAGCTGGGGGCAGCCTATGCTCACCAGTTATCTTCTGCAATATTCTGCCAGAGCCGCCTGCTTCGGGTCTGAAGTCCAAAAGAAAAATTGGGTTTGGTCTGTTGCAGTAGGCACCTGCAAATTGGCCTCTCAAGCCAACGGCGAGGAAGTCTCCACCCTGAGAGGCCCCGTGAGAGGCGTTGACACTTTTGGCAGCATGCACTTGCATGCAGGGAAAACACTTTACACGGTCGGCTTGGTCTAGCTGAAGGTGGCTCAATCTCAAAACCCCAACCCTGGATCTGCTGGAACGAGCGAACGCGGCAAAGCTGGAGCCCGAAATTGTGTTAGTGCTTGCTGATGCTTCCTCAATAACACGAGATTGCAGCTGCCATGCGCAACCCACGCAAGAAAGCCACAATCTCAAGCGGCTGATTTATGACGGCGGGCAGAGAACCATTGAAGGTCGTGGGGTTTGGGTGGACATCCTAGTTGTCCGCAAGCCGTCACGCTTTTTACATCCGCAAGACAACCATGCGAGAAATGAACTGGGTCCATCATCAGGGTCAGCGCAGGAGTTGCATGGCTGTAGTGCTACCTTGCTGCACTCTGCGGTTCAACTGGTGAATGACATGATGGGTCAGCGCCTTTCAATTTTCGGGCTTGCTCCCTGAGCACATTCAGGCTGATGAAGCATCAGAGCCACAAGGACTTAGTCAGTTCTTCACTAAACGTGTATCCCATCCAAAGGGAGAACACAAAGAAGAACAAGCGAATTTTCCAGCGAGCACTGCGAGCTCACAGCAGGACCGGGCAGACTCAACTGCAGAGGCCCAGAAGTATGTACATGCATGCGAGCTATAGTCTAAATTCTTTAAAGGGTGTTACATAATGTTATATAGGGGATTATATAGTGTAGGGGAGTATTATAGGGGTTACTACGGGGGATACTAGGAGTTTAGACTATAGCTCATGATAGCTCATGTGACTCAAACAACACTGCAAGCGTGGTAGGATTACCGCACGCATCACCCGGAGAAGGCTGAAAGCTTTTGTGCGCCAGAATCGGTATTAGAAAGGATCCAAGCCTGAAAAATCCTGTTGTTTGACTCTCTCCAGATGTAAAGCATTGTTGAAATCGAACATGGCTAGAGGTACTTTTATGTGCTTGTATGCATCTGCATCTGTCTCTACAGGCTAATCAGACTTTACTTGACAAAACCTGGGTCGTAGGTTGTCTGAGTACAGACACATGGAGAAGCAAATCATGCAGAAAATCATCCAAAAGCCGGCTGGCTTTGGCTGAGAAAAGCACTGCTTTCAGAAACGCACACTGGAACGCTGAACAGACTTAAGAGTGCAGCAAAAGAATGAACTGTGCTGGGGCCTGGATCTTACGAAGCAAATGCACTTCCTGCTCTGGCTGATTTGGTAGTCCCCGCTGTAAAAACCTTCAAGAAAAGGGCTAGCTGTATCCCTTGTGAGCAGTGCTGTGATCCTGGACTGACTCGATCCCTCGAAGGGTGTTTCGGTGGAGGTGGTTGTCTATAGGATGGCCTGATGTTTGATTGATGCGATGGCGTGAATGGGAGTATGTGAATGGCATGATGTGAGGGGATAGTTGTACGGTACTGGATGGGATTTGAGGTTTTCGTACGGCCCCCGCGTAGAGCGTCCTCAGAGTTTTGCTCGGAATCGACACACTTCAGTGGACCTGGTGCGACCGGACAAATTAACACCCGCAACAACAGCTACGCTTCAGCTGCCAAGCTTCAAGCACCAAACCCGCTTCAGCCACCACGTCATGGCCACCAAATAGCAACGGAAATCTCCACCAAAACGACCGTGCCGCAACCCCAAAAAACAGACTCCGGCACTGCCAGCCTGCCTCGTTATACTGGGTTCGCCATGCGCAACCAGTGTCAAAATGCAGTATATGACAGCTAGAGAGATGCTGCCTGAAACGCGACAATGGAAAGACTTCCTCAAGAAATCCCTGCGGGTCTGCAGCCACAAGAGCGGCTTCGAGGAGGAGGTCTGGAAGTGGATCCAGGACCCTCTTCAGAAGTGCTCTCCATTCAGAGTGGGGGAGGGTTAGGGGCGTCGTGGTATTGTTCTATGGCACTCTGCGCTCTCCAGACATGCCAAGCTAATTACTTCCTGTGTTTCAGCGGAGAAGTACGGTAACCGTCGTCACGTCGCCAAGGTGGACATGTTGCTCAGCCGTGCGTTCCAGGCGTGGGGACGCTGTCAATGCAGCAGTTCTTGCCAGCAGAAGTGGAAGTTCGTAGTCCGGTCCAATTTGTTGTTTTTATCTGCGGGCGGCATAGGCCGTTCTGGACAGGTCAGGTTAGATCAGGTCAGGTAGGGCCGAACACTTTTCGCATACTTTTGCATGAGCTCAAATCAGGCAAAGGTTTAGGGGTGTCCTAGCGCAGTGTAGTTTGGTCTTTTTTGGGCGTGGTCAAGGCCGTTCTGCACAGGTCAGTTTAGGACAGGTCAGGCTCGATGGGGCTTTAGCACCATCAACAAAGATTCTTCTGATTCCGGCAACCTGCCCTACTGTGCCATCAGCTGAACTCACGCCACCCTTTCCGGGTTTTCTCAGTGCTTCGTCCAGTCAGGACGGTTCATTCTGGCCCAGCACCTCCGACACCTCACTGGACACGGTTTAGCAAGCGGCTTCTTGGTCCATTGGTGAAGGAGGCAATGTTGATAAGTGAAGCGGGGATTTTGGTGGGCGAAGCAGGTGTTGCCTTCGAAAGTTCCGAATGACACGTCGAGACGGGCAAGCCGCCTTGGGAAGTTCAAAGTGACAACTCGAGGATTCCAGAGGCACATGGCTGGATTTGTTCGCCATCCTTTAGTATTTGTGCATGGTTCAAGTTGCC